CAGAAGCATTCTCACACCATGCCACCCAGCCTATAAATTGTTTTGATTATAGAGTATTTTTTTGAGGTACAACTGATTTTGGGGAATCATTTCCTTGGGGGTGAAAATGAATTTTTTAGCATATTTTTTTATCTGCCAGCCTTTCAGAAGCTTTCTCACACCAAGCCACCCAGCCTATAAATTGCATCTATAATAGAGTATTTATTTGAGGTACAACTGATTTTGGGGAATCATTTCCTTGGGGGTGAAAATTAATTTTTTAGCATATTTTTTTATCTGCCAGCCTTTCAGAAGCTTTCTCAGACCATGCCAGCTAGGCTATAAATAGTCTCTATAATAGAGTATTTTTTTGAGGTACAACTGATTTTGGGGAATCATTTCCTTGGGGGTGAAAATGATTTTTTTTAGCACATTTTTTATCTGCCAGCCTTTCAGAAGCATTCTCACACCATGCCACCCAGCCTATAAATTGTTTTGATTATAGAGTATTTTTTTGAGGTACAACTGATTTTGGGGAATCATTTCCTTGGGGGGTGAAAATGAATTTTTTAGCATATTTTTTTATCTGCCAGCCTTTCAGAAGCTTTCTCACACCAAGCCACCCAGACTATAAATTGCATCTATAATAGAGTATTTATTTGAGGTACAACTGATTTTGGGGAATCATTTCCTTGGGGGTGAAAATGAATTTTTTAGCATATTTTTCATCTGCCCGCCTTTCAGAAGCATTCTCACACCATGCCACCCAGCCTATAAATCGTCTCGATAATAGAGTATTTTTTTGAGGTACAACTGATTTTGGGGAATCATTTCCTTGGGGGTGAAAATGAATTTTTTAGCATATTTTTTTATCTGCCAGCCTTTCAGAAGCTTTCTCACACCAAGCCACCCAGCCTACAAATTGTATCTATAATAGAACAATTTTCCCCCTGAAGGGAAGAAAATTGATATTTCGGGTCTTGCCATAGGCCTGACCGTTGAGATTACGTTCCCTATCTACAGCTCCGGAGTCAGTATGTGTGCGTCTCTAGTCCCCCTTACCTTCGTCCTCCTCCCCTTTCTGTACGCCCATGCTCCTTGGAGCGATGCGCGCGCTGGCTAGTGGCGAGCGATTCCCCGCTCGCCCTTCAGTACTCTTGCGCCGGCAAGGCGTTACCTAGGTCAGGCCTATGGCAAGACCCGAAATATCAATTTTCTTCCCTTCAGGGGGAAAATTGTTCTATTTCGGCTCTGTGCCTACGGCCTGACCGTTGAGAAGTGTTTACAATCTGCCGGCGCGCCACGGTGTTAGAAAGCGTACTGTGACATGGTTATAGTATGAAGACCATAAACAGAATATGATAACTCTAACAGTTCATAAAAAGAAAAGTAACAGTCATTCTTGGCTCACAGCCATGATAATACTTATATAGGGACAAATTTATCCGAAATAAGTCTTCTGTTGCTGTTGTCAGGTACCAAATCCTTATCGATATTTTTATAGTAGTGTTTGAAGAAATTGCTTGATCCCTGCCAATTTCCTTTCTGCAAAACCTCATCCAATGGCATGTTATCATTGAAGCGGGATGTTGCCACTGCCGAGCGGGTACTGCCGGCTCCTCCTTCTATACCTGCCGATTTCAACGCTGTGCGGACCCATCCTGCTATCACTGACCGAGATGCCGGTCCTATCTTCCCACGAGTTGTGACGAATAGTTGAGGAATCGGTCGACAGTGGAGGTTCCTTCTCTTTTCTGATATTTCTAGATATATGGTTGTCCAGTGTACTAGATCCCAGATGCATTCTCGATTTTTGAGGAGTTTCCAGCCTGACTGGACGTAGTTATGCTTGTCTGTCTTAGATCCATGTTGTGGCCAGAAAATTATGTATTCTTCGGTTTGTTCAAAGAAACCAGAATCTATTCGAAGGAGTGTCAAGTCATGGACTCTCCTTCCCGATGATAGCAGCAAAAGCAGCGATAGATGCCGGGCCACTTGAAAGATACTATTCGTATCTGGATGGTTATCATTAATCCAAGATAGAAGTTTATCGATGTTCCAAATCTTTGGCCTAGTTGCTGGAGGATTTGCATTTGCAATACCTCTAATTACCTGTTTCACTGTTGAGCTACTGGAAACTCCTTCACTATGTAGTGGATTGGAGAATGTCGCAATGGTGGATTTATGTAATAGGATCGTTCTAAGCGCCAATTTTCTTGTGTTGTGTAGGAAGCAGAGGTATTGAGCCACCTGCGTGGGGTTTGGATTTTTAACTGAAACTCTTCTTTTCTTCGCCCACGATTGCCAACTTTTCCATGCAACGGCATACGTTTTGAGAGTTGACTTGCGCCAGGATGTTTCTAAGATTCTCCTTTCATCCTTTGACCAGTGATTCGCTATATCGGACCACCCCGTATCTTCCATGCCTCCAGGTGTAAATCCATTACCTTTGGAGGAGGCTGGTTGGTTTGAAGATCTTCCAGGTGAGCCTTCAGATTCCGAATGGTGAACGGGTGGTCGATGGCACGTCTCTTCAGCAGGGGCCGCCAGAACACCCTTTCCCACCTGGGGACTATCATTATGAAAACTCCCTGACAATAGTTGAGGTGTTGGAGAACTCTTGGTATTAGGGGTGGAGGAGGGAATATCCACGCTAGCTTGTACTCCCACGTTCTTGTAAATGCGTTGACGAATTCTGCCTCCTTGCATGGGAATTGCGTTACAAATCTTGTAACGACGGCTGATTCTGGAGTCGCCAATAGGTCGATGCAAGGGGTTCCCCACTTTTCGAAGATCCTCTTCTGAGCTATCCTTGATAAGTGCCAGTCTGGCAGATCCTTTCCTCTGGATAGGTGGTCGGTCACAATATTGTAGTTTCCTGGAATATGTTCTATTCTCAGAGACATACTGTATTGATGTGCCAGCTCCAGGATCTTCCTGGTCAATGCCAAAAGCGTGACCGACTTGGTTCCTCCTTGATTTCTCAAGTAGGAAACCACCGTCCTGTTGTCCGTCTGAATTAACAGTGTTTTGTTTGCCAATCGATCTAGGTGGTTTCTTAGCGCTAAGTAGATCACGAACATTTCTTTTTTTCTTTGATATGCCACTTTTCCTGCTGCTCTGTCCAGTTTCCTTTCCTCAAAGTGTCTCCTACTTGGGCTCCCCAGCCCGTGTTTGAGGCATCGGTTATTATATGAACTTCCGGTTCTTTTATGCAGATTATGGATGACCCTTTTAAGTTTTTCTCCCACCATCTTAGCTCTCGCAATACTTCCAGGTCTATATTGAACAGTTTCTTTGGTTGGTTTTCTGACATCCGATTGACTGCTCTTTGTATCTTTCTGCAATGTAGTCGACCCAATGGGATAACAAACGAGGCAAATTCCATTCTCCCTAGCAGTGCCTTTACCTGCTTCCAGCTCCAAGTCTTGCTCTTGATTCCAGCTTGGATTGATGTTTGCAGACGGTGGATTTTGTCCTCCGGTAAACTCTTTTGATTTCTTATGGTGTTCCACATAATACCTAGATATGCCAATTTCTGTGTAGGTCTTATTTCGGACTTCTCCAGGTTGATGCAGAAACCCAGCTTTATGAGAGTATCTATCAGGGTGGATACCTCTCGCTTTAGTTCTTCTGGATTCTGGTTTGCGATCAAAAAATCGTCCAAATAGACCATTACTCGAATGTTTTGTTTCCTCAAGTAGCTCGCCACCCAGTTCGTAACTTTTGCAAACACCTGTGGAGCGGAGCTTAGGCCAAATGGTAGTGCTGTCATAGCGTAGATGTTTTGCCGGTAATAAAGTCCCAGATAACGCCAATGCTTTTGCTTTATTGGCAAATGGAAATATGCTTGAGAAAGGTCGACTTTTACCATATAATCTCTTTCCTGGAGAAATAATGGCAGTTTGCGATGGTTCATAAGGCGGAACTTCTTGGGCGTGATGAAGCTGTTCAATCTTTTTAGATTGAACACTGGTCTTCACAAGCCCCCCGATTTCGGCGTCAAAAACATCTTTGATAAGAAACCTGTTTTTGTTTGCAGTTTTACTACCACCTTTTGATTTATGAGGTTTTGTATTTCTCGATCCATTTGTGTGGATGCTGGTGTCTCGAATTTGTTTAGTATCGGTTGGGATAGTACTGTTATTGGTGGCTTTATTGAGAAAGGGATCACGTAGCCTTTCAGGATACTGAGAATCGATTGTGAGGCTCCCATACTTTTCCAAGCAGAGACATATTTGGCGAGTTGTCCTGCCTGAAAACTGTCAAAAACTCCGCCTTTTATCTAAAGGTGGTTGCTCCTTACGAGCTAGCTTGGTATGACTTTTCGCCCCCGGCTTACGCGAATGCTTAAACTCTGCCTTCTTCATTTTTTTTTTTTTTTTTTTTTAAATGAACCTTGACGCAGATACTTTTCATGAGAAGTTCCTTGAGGCACCTTCTGTCTGAGTGCGACTTTTCCCAAATTACTCTGCCAGCGGACAGGAGCAATTTTCGTCATTGGGCTTGCATGTCCATTGTTGTACAAGGATGAGTTAACCTTCAGAGTACTGAAGACTGGTGATGCGTGGAGTTTTTTCTGAGCGTCCACGTAACGAATCTTGTTCCATGTCTCTTCCCCGAAACGCTGGCATTTCATGCCCTGTGTCTCGATTACTGGGTCCGCCCTAGGGAGTGTAGGCTCGATTTCCCTAGTGACAGGGGAAAACGTGTCCCAGTCGTTTACGCTGCCACATGTGCCAATACTGTCGGCGTCATACAGCTCTTCACCTGTAGGAGTTGGAGCTTGCCACGTCGAATTCATGACGCTGCCATCGTTCTCTTTATTTCCTGAGACCAAGTGGTAAAGATTCTCGACCATGCTTTCCACGCGGCGTAGCCTTGTCTCATTGACATCCTCCTCCGAGCTCGAAGACAATACTCGCCGTTGAAAGGGCCTCCGACGTCAGCTCTCTGGAACGCATAGTATGTTTAAGTGGTTCCACCGCCTTATTAAAGAGCTCCGCTTGAGCCATAGATCCTCATAACTGACACGCTACCTGCCGTGGGCTCATGATCAATGCTCTACAGAGGTTCCAGTTGAGAAGCCTCAATTTTATATTTCGGTAGGTTTTCTCTCCCACCGATGTTGCTTCTGGGTAGAATGCTTTCACCAGTTCCAATGTGGGGAGGGCGAAGCGAATTTTGTTCAATACTTTGTGGTCTATCTTTTTCCCAAATAGATCTTCTTTCTTCCAGTCAATCACCTTCCAGTCTCTCCAGCCGTCTGGCAGATGGTTCTCTATTAAGACCTTGATTCTGGAAAATATCGCTTCATCTTCTTCCTCCATTTCAACGTGGCTGGACCAGAGTTCACCCAGAGTAACAAAATTGGTTGCCATCGCCATCTGGAAGCAGATGTGCTATAATTAGTTAGTCAGTCGGGCCAAAAATGCAGCCGGTCGGGCCGAAATCTGCAGCCGTTCGGGCCAAATTCTGCAGCCGGTCGGGCCAAAATTTGCAGCCGGTCGGACCGAACGTAGCGGCCGGTCGGGCCAAAATTCGCAGCCGGTCGGGCCGAATTTAGCGGCCGGTCGGGCCGAAGTCTGCAGCCGGTCGGGCCGAAGTCTGCAGCCGGTCGGGCCGAAGTCTGCAGCTGGTCGGGCCGAAACATTGTGTAGATGGATCCGGCTGCAGGACTCCCTTCAATTTTCCTATGAATGGGCATTGTGCGCTTGCACACAAGTGCCCATATTATGCTCTAGCGAATTTGCCCAAGATGCATTAGAAGGGAGTCTCACGTCTGGACCGAGTGATCCGAGACCGTGACAATTTTATATCAAATGGTAGCCATCTACACTAAATTGTCAAACTAAGGTTTTTGTCTCTTACTTTTGCATTTATACTATTATTCTCTCGAACGTTACACAACGTTTAACTCGCGATAAAAGCGTACTGAAGGGCGAGCGGGGAATCGCTCGCCACTAGCCAGCGCGCGCATCGCTCCAAGGAGCATGGGCGTACAGAAAGGGGAGGAGGACGAAGGTAAGGGGGACTAGAGACGCACACATACTGACTCCGGAGCTGTAGATAGGGAACGTAATCTCAACGGTCAGGCCGTAGGCACAGAGCCGAAATAGAGTATTTTTTGAGATACAACTGATTTTGGGGAATCATTTCCTTGGGGGTGAAGATGAATTTTTTTAGCATATTTTTTATCTGCCAGCCTTTCAGAAGCATTCTCACACCATGCCACCCAGCCTATAAATTGTCTCGATAATAGAGTATTTTTTTGAGGTACAACTGATTTTGGGGAATCATTTCCTTGGGGGTGAAAATGAATTCTTTAGCTTATTTTTTTGTCTGCCAGCCTTTCAGAAGCTTTCTCACACCAAGCCACCCAGCCTACAAATTGTATCTATAATAGAGTATTTTTTGAGATACAACTGATTTTGGGGAATCATTTCCTTGGGGGTGAAGATGAATTTTTTTAGCATATTTTTTATCTGCCAGCCTTTCAGAAGCATTCTCACACCATGCCACCCAGCCTATAAATTGTCTCGATAATAGAGTATTTTTTTGAGGTACAACTGATTTTGGGAAATCATTTCCTTGGGGGTGAAAATGAATTTTCTTAGCATATTTTTTATCTGCCAGCCTTTCAGAAACTTTCTCACACCATGCCACCTAAGCTATAAATTGTCACTATAATTGAGTATTTCTCTGAGGTATAGCTGATTTTGGGGAATCATTTTCTTGGGGTGAAAATGAATTTTTTACCATATTTTTTTATCTGCCAGCCTTTCAGATGCTTTCTCACACCGTGCCACCCAGCCTATAAATTGTCTCGATAATAGAGTATTTTTTTGAGGTACAACTGATTTTGGGGAATCATTTCCTTGGGGGTGAAAATGAATTTTTTAGCATATTTTCTGTCTTCTGTCTCTGTACTAGAGTATTTTTTGAGGTACAACTGATTTTGGGGAATCGTTTCCTTGGGGGTGAAAATGAATTTTTTTAGTATATTTTTTATCTGCCAGCCTTTCAGAAACTTTCTCACACCATGCCACCTAACCTATAAATTGTCACTATAATTGAGTATTTCTCTGAGGTATAGCTGATTTTGGGGAATCATTTTCTTGGGGTGAAAATGAACTTTTTACCATATTTTTTTATCTGCCAGCCTTTCAGATGCTTTCTCACACCATGCCACCCAGCCTATAAATTGTCTCGATAATAGAGTATTTTTTTGATATCAACTGATTTTGGGGAATCATTTCCTTGGGGGTGAAAATGAATTTTTTTAGCATATTTTTTATCTGCCAGCCTTTCAGAAGCTTTCTCAGACCATGCCACCTAGGCTATAAATAGTCTCTATAATAGAGTATTTATTTGAGGTACAACTGATTTTGGGGAATCATTTCCTTGGGGGTGAAAATGAATTTTTTAGCATATTTTTCTATCTGTCAGCCTTTCAGAAGCTTTCTCACACCAAGCCACCCAGCCTATAAATTGTATCTATAATAGAGTATTTATTTCAGGTACAACTGATTTTGGGGAATCATTTCCTCGGGGGCGAAAATGAATTTTTTTGCATATTTTTTTATCTGCCAGCCTTTCAGAAGCTTTCTCACACCATGCCACCTAGGCTATAAATAGTCTCTATAATAGGGTATTTATTTGAGGTACAACTGATTTTGGGGAATCATTTCCTTGGGGGTGAAAATGAATTTTTTAGCATATTTTTTTATCTGCCAGCCTTTCAGAAGCTTTCTCAGACCATGCCACCTAGGCTATAAATAGTCTCTATAATAGAGTATTTATTTGAGGTACAACTGATTTTGGGGAATCATTTCCTTGGGGGTGAAAATGATTTTTTTAGCATATTTTTTATCTGCCAGCCTTTCAGAAGCATTCTCACACCATGCCACCCAGCCTATAAATTGTCTCGATAATATAATAGAGTATTTTTTTGAGGTACAACTGATTTTGGGGAATCATTTCCTTGGGGGTGAAAATGAATTTTTTAGCATATTTTTCTATCTGCCAGCCTTTCAGAAGCTTTCTCACACCAAGCCACCCAGCCTATAAGTTGTATCTATAATAGAGTATTTATTTGAGGTACAACTGATTTTGGGGAATCATTTCCTTGGGGGTGAAAATGAATTTTTTAGCATATTTTTCTATCTGCCAGCCTTTCAGAAGCTTTCTCACACCAAGCCACCCAGCCTATAAGTTGTATCTATAATAGAGTATTTATTTGAGGTACAACTGATTTTGGGGAATCATTTCCTTGGGGGTGAAAATGAATTTTTTAGCATATTTTTTTATCTGCCAGCCTTTCAGAAGCTTTCTCAGACCATGCCAGCTAGGCTATAAATAGTCTCTATAATAGAGTATTTATTTGAGGAACAACTGATTTTGGGGAATCAATTCCTTGGGGGTGAAAATGAATTTTTTTAGCATATTTTTTATCTGCCAGCCTTTCAGAAGCATTCTCACACCATGCCACCCAGCCTATAAATTGTCTCGATAATAGAGTATTTTTTTGAGGTACAACTGGGGAATCATTTCCTTGGGGGTGAAAATGAATTTTTTAGCATATTTTCTGTCTTCTGTTTCTGTACTAGAGTATTTTTTTGAGGTACAACTGATTTTGGGGAATCATTTCCTTGGGGGTGGAAATGAATTTTTTAGCATATTTTTCTATCTGCCAGCCTTTCAGAAGCTTTCCCACGCCATGCCACCTAGGCTATAAATAGTCTCTATAATAGAGTATTTATTTGAGGTACAACTGATTTTGGGGAATCATTTCCTTGGGGGTGAAAATGAATTTTTTAGCATATTTTTTTTATCTGCCAGCCTTTCAGAAGCTTTCTCAGACCATGCCACCTAGGCTATAAATAGTCTCTATAATAGAGTATTTATTTGAGGTACAACTGATTTTGGGGAATCATTTCCTTGGGGGTGAAAATGAATTTTTTTAGCATATTTTTTATCTGCCAGCCTTTCAGAAGCATTCTCACACCATGCCACCCAGCCTATAAATTGTTTTGATTATAGAGTATTTTTTTGAGGTACAACTGATTTTGGGGAATCATTTCCTTGGGGGTGAAAATGAATTTTTTAGCATATTTTTTTATCTGCCAGCCTTTCAGAAGCTTTCTCACACCAAATTGTATCTATAATAGAGTATTTTTTGAGATACAACTGATTTTGGGGAATCATTTCCTTGGGGGTGAAGATTAATTTTTTAGCATATTTTTTATCTGCCAGCCTTTCAGAAGCATTCTCTCACCATGCCACCCAGCCTATAAATTGTCTCGATAATAGAGTATTTTTTTGAGGTACAACTGATTTTGGGAAATCATTTCCTTGGGGGTGAAAATGAATTTTCTTGCCATATTTTTTATCTGCCAGCCTTTCAGAAGTTTTCTCACACCATGCCACCCAGCCTATAAATAGTCTCTATAATAGAGTATTTTTTTGAGGTACAACTGATTTTGGGGAATCATTTTCTTGGGGGTGAAAATGAATTTCTTACCATATTTTTTTATCTGATAGCCTTTCAGATGCTTTCTCACACCATGCCACCCAGCCTATAAATTGTCTCGATAATAGAGTATTTTTTTGAGGTACAGCTGATTTTGGGGAATCATTTCCTTGGGGGTGGAAATGAATTTTTTAGCATATTTCTTTATCTGCCAGCCTTTCAGAAGCTTTCCCACGCCATGCCACCTAGGCTATAAATAGTCTCTATAATAGAGTATTTATTTGAGGTACAACTGATTTTGGGGAATCATTTCCTTGGAGGTGAAAATGAATTTTTTAGCATATTTTTTTATCTGCCAGCCTTGCAGAAGCTTTCTCAGACCATGCCACCTAGGCTATAAATAGTCTCTATAATAGAGTATTTATTTGAGGTACAACTGATCTTGGGGAATCATTTCCTTGGGGTTGAAAATGAATTTTTTTAGCATATTTTTTATCTGCCAGCCTTTCAGAAGCATTCTCACACCATGCCACCCAGCCTATAAATTGTTTTGATTATAGAGTATTCTTTTGAGGTACAACTGATTTTGGGGAATCATTTCCTTGGGGGTGAAAATGAATTTTTTAGCATATTTTTTTATCTGCCAGCCTTTCAGAAGCTTTCTCACACCAAGCCACCCAGCCTATAAATTGCATCTATAATAGAGTATTTATTTGAGGTACAACTGATTTTGTAGAATCATTTCCTTGGGGGTGAAAATGAATTTTTTAGCATATTTTTCATCTGCCCGCCTTTCAGAAGCATTCTCACACCATGCCACGCAGCCTATAAATTGTCTCGATAATAGAGTATTTTTTTGAGGTACAACTGATTTTGGGGAATCATTTCCTTGGGGGTGAAAATGAATTTTTTAGC